TATGCCTGTAACACTCTGCCTGTTGCCTTCATATTAAATAATTTTTTGAATAATAAAAATATTCCTTCACATCATTGTACGGGCTGCAAGTAGGGGTGACATGGGTCGTGAGATTGAGACACAGACATTAGAGTCTCTTAATGTAATTTGTTTGGGTTCCCACCAGTGTGGAATTACCAAAAATAGAGAGGGCATAGCTTAACATATAAAGCAGGAAAAGACCGCTGTGTAATCCATTTATTTCAACAAAGTAACTGTATTCTGAATACCACCTTTTTAAATGGTACCTGTAACAGAATACAGTTACTCATGTTTTGTATATTAAATACATAATGCCGGCACATGTATTCCGTTACTCCCCAACACTGAAAGTTTGTGACAATACAATTAGCAAAAGACTGAACAAGTGTGGCTTGTATGGAAGAGTTGTTCTCTCTAAAAAGAACATGTCAGAACAAATGACAAAATGTCAGGAACAATATCTTTTGGACAGATGACACCAAAGCAGAGATGTTTGTCCATAATGCACAATATGCTGTGTTTAGCTTGGAGGAAACCAAACATAGCATATCAAGGTAAACACCTTATACCACCTGTCAAGACTGTTAGTGGAGGGTGAAGATTTAAGCTTGTTTTGCAATCAAAGAACCTGGGCATCTTGCAGTCACTTAGTCAATCATGAAACCCTCTGCATACCAAAGTATCATGTGCCTGACAGCTAAATTTGGACATTGCGGACATGAAATAGACTACATAAACCAGGTGTGAGGAATTAATTACCAGGTGCAAAGATTTTTAAAATGATAAATAATGTTTCGATCCTCCACACACACACTTATTTATGAAATATTAACTATGAATTATGAAACAAAGAAAAATTTCATGGTTACCTCTCTTGTCCTGCTGTGTCCCAGAGCTGAAGGTGAACTCTGAAGTTCTTCTCAGTTGCCCCATCTACACCTGTCCCTGTATAAACCTAAAGCAATACACAGAGCCCAGTAATCAACTCAAAAAGTTCAAAATGCTCCACATCCAAACCAAATTACACGATTTCTATTTTGGGTTTTGTGTCATTTCTTTGGATTAGCAGGATGCGAGGACGGATGCGACACAGTTACACTTATGATAGGGATCAAGCAAAATAGAAAATTTGATATAACAGGTCTACTTTATGGACAAAACTCAACGTGACCATAGCTGTACTGGCAACATAATACCACACTAATGTTTTAGTTTCATATAAGCAGCTAATAGAGACGTCTTTTTTCTCTTGGCTACAGACTTGACTACAGAGATTTCCATATAACATAAAAACCTAGCATTTTCAGTATAGCTGATTACATCAGAAAAAATACATTTAGGGTTGCTACTTCAGCTTTAAAGTCGTGGTTTTACTTACTAAGGATTTACAGGATTTAATTTTGTTCTTTGTTATATTTTTTCAAGAAGAAAGTATTAAACTTTTGGTTTGTAATTCTCTATTTTGTTTTAATTATTTCCCTAAGACGAGTTTGGCATGTCTAAGTGTTTATTAGACATTCAGTTAGATTTTCTTCAATAGATTATTACCATGTTACTAACAACCTGAGTTAACACATTTTTTCTAACAGACGATGAAGCCAGAAAATAATTTTACCCTCTGTATGCATACTTTTTCTTTATTATTGTTTTAAGTAAGAAGAACACTCTCAGATTGAGATCTTTTTTAGTCCAGTCAGTATTTGCAGATTTTTCTTTGTCTTTCTTGTAAAATTTAAAATAGTTTCAATAAATGTGAAAAGTTCTACTAAAATAGAGCAACCTGAACGCCTAAATTTATTGTGACTTGCTGCAAGAAGTCAGTGAAACAAACAAACTAACAAACTAACAAAAAAAGACCACATATGACCATTAACGCAAAGACAACAAAAACATTTTAAATAACATTTGATACTAAAGATGCAGATTTCAGAGGTGGAGATCAATATTGCAGGGAGTCTGGGGATCAGCCCTTCAAACATATCTTTGCTTCTTTTATATTTCCTACAATATATCTCCACTAGAATGCTTTCTTGACTCTGGTGATCCCACATTAACCTGACAAATAATAATTTGTTGTGTACTCTATTAAAAGTTAATGGCCACTTATTTCTGTATCAAACATTATATGCCAATTATTATACAATACTTAAAAGGATAAATGTACCTGGCCTTACTGAGTTTTTGAAATGTTTTTTTTCCCTATAATTTAAATGCCATTAACATGTACTCACCACTCTTTTTTCCCTGAAGTCGATGCCCACTGTGGTTGTGAATTTGCGGTTGAACTTGTTGTCAGTGTACCTGTAGAGGAAGGTGGTCTTTCCCACTCCCGAGTCCCCCAGAGCCAGCAGCTTGATCAGATAGTCATAGTCCCAGTTAGCCATTGTGCAGCTGAGTGCCGAACCTGCCACAGAGTTGAGCTCACAGTACAACGCTTTGCTAGTTTTCACAAGTCCCAAACCATGAGAGTTGAGACACATGTGGGAAAATAACAACTTATAAGGTTAAATTCTTCAACCTAAGCTGCAATTCTCAGTCTGAGGCTGTAGGATCATCACACAGGCTTAGCAGGACGTCATAACTCCCCACTCATTAGGCACTGATCAGAGAAGGACTAGCACATGACTGGAGCTGGCTTCCACATGAGCAGTCAAATGCCTCTCCAGAGTTTTCTCTAACTTTGCTTAGCAAAACCCAGCTTGTTTGGCACACAGAAGTCCTTTTATTGACTTAAAGAGCTATGGGCAGACAGCTCAGCAGTGCATGACGCTACTATGTCATCGCAATGCTTTGCTTACACTGTCAGCTGGGGCTAGTCCAGTAAATGGATGACCCTGATGAAGGCCACAAGCCGAAACGCGTTGGTCTATTATTAAAGTTGTTCAAGTGTTGCCGGAGTTCCTGCTTTGTGAATTCTTTTATCCTCTCCATGCACCTTGGAAGCAGGTGAAGTTGTGCCAGGATTTTTTTTTGCTGCTAGTCCAGTAAAGGCAGGATGGGAAATCCCATTTAATGATGCCAAATAGTTAAAAGTTTTTCTTACTCCCTTATGTACTTAAAAAAAAACATATATTAAAAGAGATATTACCATGTCTTACTCTGTGCAATCAAGTGACAAGGATGCTGCTTAATTAACCCTCTAATGATTAACAAAAAGATTTACTAGATTAATACAAAACATTACTTTAGTAATTTTCTAAATAGTCCAAACACCAATAATAAACCCTCAGCACACACAAACCATTAAAACTTTAAAATCTTACCAGTCTACGTGGAGAAAATGAAAACATCCGTTCACAAGTTGCACCGCTTGTCCTTATTAAATAACCACTATCATCATTGATGGTACATCGCATAGCCTGAACCGTTCCCTTGTGTTACATGTGATCCAGGGAGGAGTTTAATACCAGCTGCTGCTGTGTTTACAGACCCTTGTGTTTTCCGCTGTTATTTATGAGAAAAAAGGGCTCTTTGAACACTGGATTGTCTGTGGATTTAAGTGGAAATGGTCCAACCAAAGAAAACACAGGCCTCACGTCTGGAGGCTCAGTGAAGTAATCCTGCTTCTAAAAACAAAGCAGCCTGTAGACGTTTTTAAGTTCTATAAAAGGTTTTATTTCCAAAAAGCAAAACTATGTCACTTATATGTGCCATGGTACAAAAAAAGGAACTGAAATATGTATCTGAGAACTTCAAACATCATTAATTTGCACTGTCGGGTTAATCTGTAAATCAATGTCTGAAGTGAGGTTTTCTGCTCATACTCAGTGCCCATTTTTAAGGCTATAGTTTAGTTATTACATTATTGAGCTTAACTATTGATCATTGATGGAATCAGTTAATTTCCTCCTTTATTGCTGGGCACTTTCTGTATCTTTTCTGTATATACTTAAACAGTTAAAAGCAGGATTAGAAGTTTAACATACCCCTCCTTTTAAAGTCCCCCTTCCTTTATGTGAACTACCTTCTGATTGGCTGGTGGTTTGACCATGTTTAATATGAACATCTACCATTGTAATTTGTTGTATGATAGAAAATATATTTTATACGCACGGTAAAGATATCACACGATATTAGATATTAATTATTTAATGCTTAGGAAAAACAAACTTTCTGACATTCAAGGTCAATTTAGGTTATAAATTGCTTTAAAAGAAAAGTTGCTTAGTTTGTTCAACAACCCAACATCAAGAAAACTTTCATTTATCTTCGTGACATAGTTTCTCTCTAACTGGGTTTGAAATACTTGAACAAGTTGTTGGCCTGGCTGCCTTTTCCTGGAGCCTTTCTGTCTTTGGACGTCAAGCTTTTTCCTGGTTTCTTAGATGAGGAAGTCTTCAGAATTGGCTTCTGCTGCTTCCACTCAGACATCAGCTCCCTTTGAACATCCGGCGGAAGCTCAGAAAACACCTTAGGGTCCACATTTCCCGGGAACTCGCAGTCAGATAACCGGGGGAATGACAGACCCCCTTCTTCCATGACTTCTTCTTCTGGGAATGCACTTGTACCTGCCTTCCCCTGGTGATTGACGGTGGTCGCTCTGTTGGAAGAGTTCAACTTGTTTGCAGCATCTTTTGTGTCACTAATACTTTCTGAGTCTGTAAGTGTCTCAGGAAGTTTGCTTTTTGATGTGCTGGGGACATCAGTGCCTGACTGGCTGCTAGAAGTGCTGTACAGGGAGCTCACATAAGCAGGAGATAACAGCTCCTTCTGGATGTCCTCTGGAAGAAGCTTGAACACCTCCGGGTCAACATTGGGAGGCAACCGTGTCACAGCGTTAGCCGTTTCGTCAGGGTCGCACCCAGCTGTACTGCAGGATGCATTTCGAGTCTCTTCTACAATGACAGCAGAGTTCTGTTTCCATCTTAACCCGTGTAATGGTGCCTCAGAGCTAGAAGAACTAGAAGAGCTTTGTATGGCGGGTTGTTTATTGTTTTGAGTAATCATGCCATCTGTGCCAAACTGATGATCCATATCAACACCCTGAGAGGAATCGACACACTGGAGAATGAAAGAGGAACAAAAGTGAAGTGAGGAAATTCAGAGTACCACCACACTCCTTCTAGGAAAGAAAAATCCTGCATTACGTAACTGTGCAGTGTGAAAGAACAGCCTTTCTACTGACCAACATTAATTATTTCTTAAGAACCCTTCTAATACCACTTTGACTTTAATTTAATACCTATTTTATGATCATGATGTTCAAAGTAGAGCCAATATGGCCTTAAATACATTTTTTTTTTCAGGACTTCCCGCTGCTAACACAAAGCAGCGTTTTCATGGAGTTTGGTTACATATGAAGTCCACTCAAGTTAAACATGTTTCATGAAAGCCCATCAGCTCAGACCACATGATCTGGATAAATTATGTCTTTAATGACATTTCGACGCAGAACATGAAGCAAAGTTTCAGCCGTCATTACATATTTAAACACAGTTCACAGTTTTTCTTCGGAATAATAAATTTGGCACCTAACAAAGACGTTTTGTTGCTACCTAAAAAGAAAATCGCAGGGGTTGTAATATTTTAAGTGGGCTTTCATTTCCTCAAGCATGGCCAGAAATAATGTGCGGACCTCTCTTACGTATGGTTACACACACTTATTGCCTCAAGAATATGATGACTAGTTGTGCTTACGTCCATGCTTGACCCTGAAAGAGGAGTACTGCCAATGGTGGGAATCAGGTTACAGTAGCATATTTTTAGAACAGGAAATCCAATGATTTCATTACATCAATTTGCCTATAATGATGTGCCATGGTTTCCATGGCTGGCTCAATATCTCTGACCCATCAGAGTATGGACAAAGATCCTCTGGGTGTCTATAACATTAGGATGCTGGCAGTGGATCCTCAGTGATCCAGCTACTGCAGATCGTAGTATTGAAATTGTCGAGTGCAACTCTAATGCCGCTTAGTAATAGGAATGAAAGAAAATGATAGATAATTCCTGCCATTCAGACAAAATTAAGAAACTGTACAAATGGTCAAGTCCTAGCTTCTCCTTGTCCCAAAGAAAGGTAAAATTAATTTCTTTGGGCTGTTGAGACAAAATAAGACATATTAAGAGTGACTGATTTGTTGTTTTCATTATGGTTTGACATTTCATAATTAATTAATTCATATACTAATATGATAAAAATCAGATCCAACAGTTTTTTATGAGTGATTCTGAAGGCCTTAGCGGGCAATCCAAAAAATTTCACTTTTATAGGCTACAGTTAAAAGATTTTACTATGTTTTTTATTACAACCCCTTTCATTTTCCTTTTTATGGAAAAATCAAACTAAGATTATCTAACAGTGTTGACAAACCACGTTCCATTTTACCTGGCACTGCGATAAGACGGCCTGGGATTTTTTGGGAGATGTGCTCTGTGAAAAGAACGATGTTATCGAGCCCTTCCCAGTGACGGCAGCTGCTCTGCTCTGCAGATTACTGAAGCAGACGTTAATGAGGGTGAGGTGGAAGGGGGCGCCGCAGTCCACCATCCTGTAGAAGAGTTTCATGGCCAGCGGGAGCAGCTGCATGACAGCATCATCACTGCTGCCTATAGACGCATTAGAGAAAAACTGTTTTAATGGAAAGAGTTTTCCTAACTGAGCTGATTTTAACTGCTTTCATTAACCAACTAATTAACTGATAAATTTAAATGAACATGATTGAAGACATTACCAGATATTACAAAGGCTCAGTAGACATGGTACATCTAGACTTCTAGTTATAGTCTGACCTGGATGACTAAAGCTTTTTATTATGTTTTTGTTTAGCGAAAAAGCAAGAAATCACTGTAAACCGACTTAAACTCAAAATCAAAAAAGTTTATTTATGCTCTGATTTTGACTTGAGAAATCAACTTTAGCAACTAAAGTCTGCAAGGTTAAGCTCCTTCCCAGCGTAGCCTGTTTGTGTCGGGTAAAGGCGCACAGTGAGTGCTTGACATTTTTGTCTGAAACCAGGAATATTCATTTATAGTTAGCCTGAGGGGAAACTGCTGAATGCTGACAAAATCTCAGGGAAAAGGATGTCAAGGAAAAGGATGTTTCAAAGGCAGAGAGCCAGGACAAATATATTTTTAAAAAATGTATACATTGTTTAATATTTTGGCTACATTTTATTTTTTGACTCTATTAGAGAAGCTTTGCATGCTTCACAGTTCAAACTAAACCTTATTTTTTCCTCTAAAAGGAGGCGCTTTGTTAAGCAGAAGGAGGAGGAGCCTCCTGTGTGATTTATAGAGATGACATCATAAAACTCTAAGTGGATGATAAGCAGCTTTTAACAGAGCATTTGGAGCAATCTGAAATCTGAAATGTTGGATCAAAGGGCTCATCTAGAAATGATCTTATTTTGAGGATCTACCATTTAGCAGTACATGTGTGACAGAACATAAGAAAATGATCTGTAAAACATTTATGAGAGAAGATTTTTGAAAAAACAAAATTTAATTATTGACAAGGGATAGAGTGGGTAACGCTTGCTCTTTAGGCAAATGTGTAAACCACTACAGTGTGGAAGTACATTTTTCAAAAATTTATACACACAGAAAATTAAAAACCTGATAAAGCCTCTACAAATATCATT